TTAGTTACCAAGAGGATAAACAAAGGGAACGATGAACTGATCACTTTAGAATCTTTTGACTCCACCACCACCAATAGCTGCAACTCGTCGAGAAACACCGCCAGCAGACTAGCAAAAGAACTATCAGTGAACACCAGCTGTCCGATAAATGCAGAAGTGAAGTCACCAAGAACTGGTCAGGAATCATGCTGCTGTCTACCGAAAGCAAAATATTATGCCACCTCGACCCAGTGAGACTAAAATTGCACCGGATTCAAAATTACGTTCGGAACAGGCTTTATGGCTTTAAGAAGAACAAATCATGTGTGCATAAAATTGCAACGCTACACATCATCATAGAACAGATCATAAGGTGGCAGTCCACTGAATCTGTAACTCAACTTCATCCACTTTGAAAAAGCCTGCGACAACGTTGACTGAGAAGTAATTTGGCAACTGCTTCAACACTACAGTTTTATTGATACAAACCTTGATCAACCTCATTCAACAGCAACCATATGATGATGATGCTACATGCAAAGTGTCCCACAATGGAAAGCTCAGTGATGCCTTTGAAGTCAAGACAGGACTAAGACAAATTTGACTACTATCACCGATAATCTTCCTGACTAATGGTGGACTGGATCATGTAGCAAACCATGAGGAGCGAGAAGATAACCATAGGCTGGACCAAAGAAAAGACCATTAACGATTTGCATTTCGCCCATGATGACTTATGTCTGTCTTATGTTGCAGCTGAAAATCAACAAGTTGTCAGAAGAAGAGGGCAGCGAAGACGGGATTCTTCAGGTGAACGTAGAGAAGACGGAGATGATGAAGATATCCAACCAACAACAACAACAAGCGCCAATCACCATCAACATGAGTAGCCTTTTTTACCTACCTAGGCAACATCCTTTCAACTACAGGTTGCACAGACACAGATGAGGAAGTCAAGGTCAGGAGCAGAGAAGCAAGTCAAGCCTCCATGTATTAATCAGAAATCAGTGTGGAGATCTTCTGCACTGCACTGTATTGGACTCAGCATAAAGCGTGAACAAGATACGGATTTTTAACACTAATTCAGTCAAGTCAGCTCTTCCACATTGTTCAGAAACTTCGCACGTTACGAAAAGAATTCCCAAAAAACAACAGACATACATGAACAGCTACTGCCTACGCTCGTTCGATACTGAAGATGGAGACCACAGAGCCAGAATATTAAGAATAAGCTACAGAGAACTCTGGCTGGCTGGCAACGAACCAACCAAGAACCCATCGCTCAACGAATATGCAGAGGAGGAAAGTGGAGATGGATTGAGTTGGACATACACTGAGAAAACAGTTTGCGGACATCACACGACAGATTCTCTTGTCCTCATTAGTGACTAGCTTCGAGAGGAGATTCCTGAAGTTTCATTGAGAAGTCGTGACCAGTGGGACAAACCTGGTGCACGTCACGACATTCCATGATCGTCGCACTATGCCATGTACTGACAGAAGTACGAAATATGCAACACTGAATTTCAAACCACTGGCTCAATGATAATGTGCTGGCCACGGAACCTGAAGGTCCATGGTCCGATCCCTAACGCGACATCAAACAGTCATCAATCAGCACTGCTGAGGAGCCCATCACTACAACAAAACAGCTGGCCAGTCAGTCCTACCACGTTTTCAATATTCCTAAAACTGATATCAGTTCATGACGACTATCAACCACAAATACAAATTATAAAAGGATTTAACAGCTTTAACATTCCATAAACCTAAAACTATTTCATACTCAAAATGTCAATTAATTATTGGCAATATCAGATTTCATTTCTCAATAGGACAATGCAAACCATTTAATTAGATATCTATCATATGCTTAAATACTAATTTGGAGAACCATTGAAAAGTTGACAGTAGTAGGCACTGCTTCATCCTAGTATGGGACTCTTCAGCAAGACGCATCCACGACCCCATCCTCGTTCCATGTGGCTTTCCGTAGATGGATTTTTGAATGGACTTATATGACCTTGTTTGAAGTTTGAATCAGGTTCTAATGCAAATATGACTAAAGCTCGGCTGTGGTTCAAATTTTAGGAGGCGTGTCTACTTCAGGTTGTCATTACAAACCATGAATATATCTTCTAGAAATCATTTATATGCACGAAGTTGACTGATTTTTGGGAGCAGTGTACTATTGAGAAGGCTAACTATGAAGCAAAAGTCCAAAAAGAGATCCTGTTACTACATAACCAGTCATAAGTGAACATGTAATGAAGTTAGAAGTAAGCTGAACCACTTCCAGTGTCCCAGTTCCCACCACTTATACATAGCTGTAGCATCAGCTATACACGATCAAAAACATGATTCTATATTTAGTGTGTTTTGCGAAACTTCTTCCCTTTATTTGGTACTAACAAAACATTTTATTTTCTGGTTAGTTTGACTCTTGCTATTATATATTGTCCTTTGACAACACTCAACCCATATTACACGCTCTTGCAGTCAGTTCATTCTACCATGACTATTTTGTTACGGTATAATGATACGAGGTCGAATGATAATTTAGATGGTGGTAGAATTCGCATCAGTTATATCCACATACTTTCTTGTGTTTCGTTCACCTCGTTCGGTCCTCTATCACCCAGTACGATTATGCGTATTGACTGAGTACCAGTCAGATAGACACGACTGTACAGCTTGGTAATAAAGTTGTTGGAAAGAAACATTTCTCCAGCGGCAAAAATATTCCTCTTGTTCAAGAATACATAGATGTATGTGTTAAAATAAGCTATCTGTTTTTTGGTGCGTAGTTTATAATGTCGACCGACAGGATCTTATTAGCACATTGTTTTAACCAAACAGTTTCAAGCAGAATACGTCACCATTACGGTGTTGTTTTCACCAAACTGACAAACACTACTTACCACAGCATTTTTAGTAGAGACCGAAGTCGTTACGTATACCATAGGTCAAATTCATGGAGGTGAAGTTCTAATCACAGTCTAAATTCTAACGATTGTCTTGTGTCATCCAAAATGCCATAAAATCACAACATACGGTATCTGATGCTGAAAGTGATCGGAGGGGAACTGTTCCCTGGAGAAGCTTTCGCTCTCAGTGAAACGCCAACCACATTTCCAACCTTAATAAAAAAATAGTTCTCCATTTGACGAATAACGTAATGAGTACGGCGAAATTGAGCTTCTCATGTTGGTATCAGTTTCAAAAATGTTTTTTCAGGTCCAACTTGCTGATGAGAGTTAGATAATAGAAAACCTAAGTCAATCACCTGAAACTATTCAATATACATACTCAAAATGCATTCAGTTACTATAGGCATACTCATGTACTACGGCAGTAAACTACCCCTACTGTGTGAGGTCAGGTGATATTACCATATTGCCTGGACACTAATATGTAAAATAGGGTCCAAACCATGAACGATAGGTCAAAGATCAACTGTTTAGACGAAGGATCCCCAACGTTAAAATACATCTCAAATTTAATTACATTTTCCACAAATTAGCATATCCTATTTACCTAGACTCTTCTCATTATGAAGTTAGGTATAAGATCACTTTCTCATTAATCAAACAATGTTACCTATCTCTTGCTTTCTAAACTTTGAATGTCTATTTTTCAGAAAACAAAATGCATTTCAATGGATTTGTTTCGCTTTTAACTTTTCTAATCAGTTGTCTTACTTCTGGTATGAAAGCGCTCACTAACCTTTTTTCCCGAGACTGTTTTCAACTTTCAGAACAAAATATACAGGCAAACAGAAGGAGTAGCAATGGGATCGCAAATATCCTCAATCATAGCAGATATACTTATGGATACTTGGAAAAACATGACTTTACAAACGTTTAATCCTGCACCTTAGATATAGTGGTGATATGCGGATGACACCCTTACTGTATTGAAATAAGGATATTTCGACAATTTCCTCACATAGATAAACTCAGTAGTAGGCGTAATCTAATTCACTTACGAAGAGGTAGAAAATGAACAAGTAGAATTATCTATGTTGGATTACAGAACAAAGTGAACGACAGATGGTGGTTTCAATGCTACCATCTACAGGAAACTGATGCGTTGTAGCAAGTATCCTGGCTTCACGTTATCTCAATCAATGTCAGTTAAGGAGAGTTCAGTCACTCCACTGGGATTGAATCCAGTACCTTCAGGTTAAGCGGCCAACACGTTACCTTTAAACCACTAAATCGGAATTCAGATGTCCCGATTTCCTACTTGCGTCAGTTCACGATATAACGCAACCTCCACCCAATGCCGTCGTTCAATAACAGTTCTCATGTCAGACTTGATTGGCCGCAGCAGCCACTTCTCATTGGAACTTCGGAATCACCTCCAGAAGTTAGTCACCAATGACCACTACAAGTTAATTCAGTTTTGCAACTTGTGGGGATTTATTCATAGATTTGGAACGGACTAATGAATTCCAATCCAGTGGCCCGATAAAAAGGTACTGGCCCAGAACCTGAAGGTCGTGGGCTCGACCCCAGCAGGACGGGGTCATGGGTGTGCACTGACCAGTGCTACCAGGTTTCCAATGTTCCTCCAACTGATGTCAGTCTATGACGTATATCAACATAAAACCAATAAAGAAATCCCTAAAAACCCTAATATGGAATTAAATATATACTGACAGTCTACTGGACACTAAACGATTTCCTCTTGTCTATCTACTGCTGCGTGCTGGACGGATTCTAGGGATCATTTCACAAACACTAACTCCATATAGATGGATTAGCATTAGTTCGTTAAATACAATCAGTGGTAAGGTCTGAAACTTCATCAATGAGTGATCCATGTTAGAATCATCTCCCACAAAGATAGTGGATCCTTTTGAAGCTTCAGATACACCTTACCTTCTGAAAGAAGTTGAAGACTGACCATTGTCAAATATACGTTTAGTAAACACACATAAAACTCTCCACAGACTGTATACAGACATACTGACATCTGTTCTGCATACCTCCCACTTGAAATCAGTACATAAACTGTTAGCAAATAAAGACAAACACTCGACTGTATTTATCGTAATCATCTTGAGAGTTAGTTATTCAGTAAAGGAAAACAAGATAGACAAGAACATGAATTAACAAAACTTTATACAGCAAAAAAAAGGAAGACGATTCTTGATATTGATACGGAGTATACAAAATTCGTAACCGATAATAATAATAATAATAATAATCACAAGAGAATAAAAAACGATAAGTATATTTGAAAGTGTGAAGTATGTTTTCTATTTTTCAATGTACTATGATCATTACTAAGATGTTCATGCATTGCATACCTAAAAGTAAGTGAAAATTCATATGTATCCAGCTCACAGCTTGATTACAAGCATTTCTACCATTGATAAGTAACACTTCAGTGGTAGATTCTGTGGCATAATTCAATTCGGCGATAGAAAATAGGAAAAGAGAAGTAGAGATTAAGGCATAAATGCGGACGGAAGTGTTAAACGGATAAATAATCAATTTGTTTATACTAAATGATGATGAGAAGTGAAGTGAAAATTTGAATCTCGGCCGAATTTGAACTAGTAACCACCATCAGGTTTCCAAACTCATACTCTACCAACTAAGCTACGAGTTCCTTAACCTTCAATCATCACCTAGTATAAATACGAGTCTGTGAAATGATAATCAATTTCAAGTTGTTATTCATCGTAGACTGACATCAGTTGGATGAACAAAATAAACCTGAGAGCACTCGATAGCCAGCCTTTTCGTCCGCCTAGTACGGGACTCCTCAGCAGTGAGCGCCCGCGACCTTCAGGTTCCGTGGCCAGCGCGTAACCATTGAGCCACTGGGTCCGAATCCGATGCTCCATATTTCCAACTACTGTTAGCTCATGATATATAGCGCAACCGCCACCCAATGTCATCGCTGAGTAACTGTCCTCATGACCATCAGGCTTTGACTCCACCGGTCACGACTTCTCAATGGAACTTCGGGAATACTTCTCGAAGCTAGTCACCAATGAGCACCAGTTCAATTGAATTTTGAGAGAGTTGTGGGAGATTTGGAATTATTTCAAGTTGTTACTCATCGTAGACTGACATCAGTTAGAGGAACAAAGGAAACCTGGGAGCATTCGATAGCCAGCTGTTTCGTCCGACAAGTATGGGACTCCTCAGCAATGCGCACCCACGACCCCGCCAGGAATCGATGTGAAATAATCGAATACACTAAACTACTACTCATGAGTAGTAAACAACCAGTCGCATAAAAAAAGTGATCTATTAGTAATATTGTTTCGATTGTAGAGATGAAAAAAAGTATGAAAATAAAAAAAAATGAAAAGTGTTCTATCTAAATTTCAAGCTGTTTCAATCATCCATTATGTAAGAGATTTGACAATTTCATAACTTAAAATATATTATCAATATTGACAGATCTGACCTGAAGCCTCAATCCATAAAATGGATTAACAATCGGGAGACTGCGTAATACAAATCTATTTCCTGTTTAATTGTACTTCCGGTAGGATAAAAAAATATTGAAGTGGGCAATGTTTTTTGTCATTCATTAGTCATGTAGCATAAAATCTACGTAAGGGGGTATCTAATCTTATATCAAACTGGATAGTGAGTACTTCAGTGTTTCAAACGATGGATGGGTGGAGAATTCGCGTATCAATGAGAACAATATGTTAATTTTGATAAACTAACTAACTGTCATATCTTTTCTGATAACTGCGGACTTCTTCGCCCACTATTATTCATTAATACCTATCCTCTATCAATTAACTTAAACTGTATCGTTCCTTATTTATGAACAAAATAGAGAAATTGAAAACGAAGTCTTCACCATTTCGATTGATTTGTGATAGAGAGGATGGAAAAATTGGTCTCGAAAGCTACCATGTAATCATATTTTATGCATCAGAGACGATTATTCCTCAGGAGAAACGTATATTAAGATCTGACTTGAAGCAGACAGTTGCTATACTTTATGCAAAGAACAGACGGATACAAAAAGAGTTATACCAAAGCAGACAAAGTTGTATGAAACAATTTGAAGATAATAGTTAGTGCAAATATCCAAGCTTTAGGAGACATCAAATAGTGAATAAATATCCGAGTGACTGTAATCCATTTTTACACATATCACCAAGAGTCCTCAACCGTCTGGAGGACCTGAACCCAGCAGTCTACGTCTAACCATACGGCTCAGCCCAACAGATTGGGGACTTCATAGACTAATTACACGTCGTAAATTGGCTATCCTAAATCCTCTTTCAACCTAATCCATCTTCTCTTGCACTTCGAGATACACGATGTCTCGGCATATGTAACACATTTCCAAGCCACCTCAGTTGCTGAAGGTTTAAAACTTTATCAACCGACTCGTCTGTCTTACCTAGTATTCTTGCTCATGCAGTGATTCCACTGAAAACGAGCACTGCTGCGAAGACACCTATGGTCTCCTACTTTAACAGTCATGGCTCTCAGTCGTATTACAGGACAGAACGAAATTCAACGCAGTATAATCATTTTTCAACAGGCAATCGGATATCTCACCGGCCCATTCGAAACAATCTATTAACACAGTTTCTTAAAGTGTTAGATGATGGAAGAGAATCGACAATAAGTCATGCTTAACGTCGGTTTCCTGATTATTGTTAGTAGTTAACATCTGCATCACTCAGTTATTCAACTCTGAGCGTCTACCCACAGTAAATAAAGCCTGTTTATTAGACTCTTGTTTTATCAGTATAATCAACAGAGCAGACTAAAAATATCTTACCTGAAATCCCTGTTGTAGCACTGGTTGTGCCTAAAGTATTCGTTGCAGTACAAGTATAAAGATCTCCAAAATTTAATCTGGTGATCGGCTCCAAATCCAAGACTAGATCACGTATTAATCCAGCATTTAAATAAGTCAACTTGGTACTAAGACAAAAAACAAAAATGAATGCATAAAAAAGATTGTTAAAAAAAAACCACTGTTTCCAAGATGATACTCATCACAAAGTGATATTGATTGGAGAAACACAAAAAACTTGGACAGCTGTTTCGTCGTAATTTGGGTCCTCCTCAGTATTGGACTGTAATTTCACTAACAAAGCTAACAATGGTGCAAGTAAACTCCACTAAGAGGCAATATAAGAGATTTTTTAAAAAAATTGTCACATAATAATGCAACGAATTCAGTCACTATAGTTGTGTAAATTATTCCTATTCGGATGACATCACTATAAAAAAAAAGTCACTCATTATGTAATCGAAAGCAATAAATCGCACAATTGTTAATCACTGAGACGTAACCATTTTCATGTTAAAGAGTACTAAGTTCTGTATGAATTCGATAGAACGATTTGCAATGTAGCGAACAGGCTATGAGACGCGTAGGCATTGCATTTAACTTCCACTAATGCTATGCAGTTGGTGGACAGTGATGAGAAATGCTGAACCTAGGTCTTATGCTGGCTGGCTACTCGTCAGTAAGAGGCTAAAATAACACAATAGCAATCGGTTTTCAGTGATTAAGCAATGCATGTAATGCAGTTAGTTCAAAAGAAGATTAAATATGATCAGAACAGCTTAGTGGTAACATCACTGAGGTTGACACTCTGTGAGGGAGGTAATGATCTTTGATAAGAAACCAATTCCCTTGACGTTGGATATAATCCTTGCTGAAGAGTATCAATAAGCGCAAAACTTGGATCCTAGCCTAACTGCTGGATGCCACCAACAACCACCTAACAATAAGAAATCTTAAAATCACAAACAAGTTTTCACATCCAGCAAAGATGATTACAATGTGATACTCGTCATAATTCAAAGACCAAATCATGTATGAATACGTTAGCTTTGCATTTACTCATTACAGACCTTTCTTCGTGAAATGAAACAGAAGTAGAAAGAAACAGCTGATCTAGAAAATTAAATCGACACGAAACAACCCATAGTTCTCAAGCACGATCGTATTGGTGATGTAGATCAGGTATAGATAATAATAATAATAATAATAATCACTTTACTCCAAACAATATGTATCATAGTATGAAATTCTCGGCATGTAAATATTTCAACAAATTCATTCCCAGAACAATAATTTCAGACAAAACGGTTATTGCATCCGAATAATGTCAATAATAACAGTATTCAAGGCAATAATATGAAATAACCAGCTAGTTCTGGATGGCCGTCCGGTTCATAACGAAGAATCAACAGAAATATAAGCGCAATTTTGATGGTAGTGATTTATTCAGAAAGTACAAAAATTTGCAACTCAAGCTAAACATCTGATGGATAGAAATATGATGCACCGCAAACTTCATTTCTATATAACGTAACACTTTTTCTCTGCTTTGTTAGTGACTCAATAAACAGAGAGTTGGAAACAGTTTAAAAATAAGAGTACATGATACGTTCAAAGGACACATTGAAATGATTAAAACGAATTGCAAGGAAAGAATTTGATAAAAAATGTTCGATGGATAAATTTGGTAGCCCAAAATTCAAACAGGCCGCTGTCATTGCCTTAGTTGTTAATAGCAGCTGCTTGTAAATTCTCATAAGGTGCAATTGCCTTTTTTTTCTACGACCTGATTGGACATTGATAACATTTCCATTGAAGATTATCATATATCTTTATTCTTTTGCTCACCTCATGTTTAGAAAACTTCAAAATGCTACGATTTCGCAACACCACTTCTATGTTCGAAGTTCAGTAATGGATTACGGAGGATTTGTCAACAGTGTATTGCAGAAGACTGAAACCAAAACTAGAACTTGAGTTCCCTTAATGAACTTGAATAATACACTGAGAACACTATTTGTAGGATAAGATGACATCAGTTTATTTCGTAGAATTTTCATAACCTTGGGTACGTCTAACTTTACAGCGAAACCTTCTGCTTGACTGAGTATGAAGACGATATTGTTCTGCTACGTGGAGACACTCACAAAATGCAGTCTTCGGAATGCCTTCTGCAAAAATCTGCGTATGTTTAGCATGCGTTTCACTGGTACCTGTTAAATATAAGATGCTCCAGGATTGGTCTGCTCCAAGTATTTCCAGTTTGACAACAGGTAGTGAAGTGGTAGAATGTGTTGACCAGTTTACTTACTTGGGGAGTAGAATCAACCCACTAAACGCGCTGACGCGTTGTTGATGAAATTTCGGCTCGGATTCAGAAGACACGTTGAGCATTCGACAATCTGTGTCATCCGCGATGCCAACTGGCAAGATATCTGACTCCGCTCTAGTCCATTCTCTTTTGTTATACGGCTGTGAGACATGGCCGTCAAAAGTAGGAGACATGAAACAGTTACAGTTTTTCAACCATAAGTGTCTTCATAGCATTGCTCGCATGTGGTGTAATCACCGTGTGAGCCATGTCAAGGTCAGGTGAAAGGTACCAAGTAAGACAGGCAAGTCAATTGATGAGGTTGTGAACGTTAGTCGACTGAGAAGGCTTAGACATGTGCTGAGCGTGCCAAGCCACCATTCACTTCGATGCGCCATGGATGGAAAAGGGTCCGTGGTTTCCAAACCAAGACCTGACGCCAGTCGATGAAGTCCCTAACTGTTGGCTTAAGCCGTGTGGGGGGAGATGTAGACTACTTGAATGGAGTCCCTGAAACGAAATCAGTGGTTGAGTGGTTGAGAACACTTGGTGGAACGGTTGAAAATCGGTCAGTGACAATGACGCATCTCCTAAAGCTTGAATATTCGCGCTAACCTTTATCTTCGAACCGCTTATTTTCTCACACTACTTTGTCAACTTTGATATCACTCTTATTCCATTCACTTGTTCTTTGTATGCTATAGTGAAGTACGGCAAATTGAACCAATACAGTTATGCGCGAGGTCCTACATTGATTTTGTTGGTGTGTCTATAGGATTTACATCAGGTGCAAACAACTTAGTAAAAAGCGTCCTAAGATACCACTTAATGTTTTCAAGATTTAAATCAGCTTTAGTATTAAGAATATAGAGGAGGACCAAGTATTACAATTCATTCAAACTAGACATATATCATAGTAATGATGGATAGTGGCTAGCAGTGGAATTCAGGATGTGCATTTCGTCCTATTTGGGACTCGTCAGCCGAATGTACCTGCCTCCCAGTGAGTGATGTTATTCCCACTGAGATTGAGGAGAATGGATATTGGAATCCAAGATGAGAATTTCTTCATTCTATTCAGTAATTATCAGCTAGATCTATATCCTTCTCACAAAGTGACAGCGTGTATCCACTGAAACTGTAATTTAGCACTTATCGATTAACCATGTTGACAACTATGCATTCGTGTTACAATATGTGCTAAAAATGTCATATTGTTTTAGCCTGTTGTAGATTTACCTAGTAGGATGAAACATTAATCCGGGTGTCTTAGGCAAAGAATCAATAGGCGCAGAGTAATTAGTTACAGAACTTTAGGTTTGTCTATTTGGCTGCGAACTTTTTCAGACTTTGTAGAAATTCGTTGAAAACTTGTAAAATTCAGCACAAATTTAAAATGTAAAGTGAACTGAAAAAACGAAGGGAAACTTGTTTAATTCTTTTTCTGATGTAGTAAATTTCTAGTTGACAGTACAGAGAATGTAAGAGTTTCTGTTAAAAAAAAATATCTACAACACTTGGCTAATAGCCAAAATAGATTACGTAGAAAACACAATAAACAGAAATACAAATTTAGTTTGGAAGTTAAGTGGGATTTATTGATTTCAGGTGGGTTTTCGCCGTGAACTGACATCAGTTGAAGGAACAGTGGGAACCTGATACCACTGAACAGCTGTCTCCTCCTAGTACGCGACTCCTCAATAGTGTGCATTCATGCCCCTGTCCCGTCAGCGATTGAACCATGCACCTTAAAGTTCCGCGACCAGCACGTTATCATTGACCTAACTGTGTCACAATCCAATGGTCTAGATTTCCAATTTCTGTCAGTTTACAACATACCGCCATCTCCATCCGATGCCAACAATGAGTAATTCTTCTCATCTCCAATTCCGTTGGCCCCACCAACCAGAAATCAGAAAATACACGAAAACATCCAATTCATCTAATCCTCATTAGTCACTATCTTAGAGAGGAGATTCCTGAAGTTTCATTGAGAAGTCGTGACCAGTGGGACAAACCTGGTGCACGTCACGACATTCCATGATCGTCGCACTATGCCATGTACTGACAGAAGTACGAAATATGCAACACTGAATTTCAAACCACTGGCTCAATGATAATGTGCTGGCCACGGAACCTGAAGGTCCATGGTCCGATCCCTAACGCGACATCAAACAGTCATCAATCAGCACTGCTGAGGAGCCCATCACTACAACAAAACAGCTGGCCAGTCAGTCCTACCACGTTTCCAATATTCCTAAAACTGATATCAGTTCATGACGACTATCAACCACAAATACAAATTATAAAAGGATTTAACAGCTTCACATTCCATAAACCTAAAACTATTTCATACTCAAAATGTCAATTAATTATTGGCAATATCAGATTTCATTTCTCAATAGGACAATGCAAACCATTTAATTAGATATCTATCATATGCTTAAATACTAATTTAGAGAACCATTGAAAAGTTGACAGTAGTAGGCACTGCTTCATCCTAGTATGGGACTCTTCAGCGACACGCACTCAAAACTTCATTAATGATCGAACACAGGATCTTCAGGTCTCGTAGTAAACGCATTTGTCATTCAGCCAGTGGGTTAGAGCTCTATAGTCCACAATTTCTCATGTCTATCATTTGGCGACATAGTGCAACCATTATCCAAAATCATAAGTTAGAATCTACTTCAATTTCGAGGTCACGGTCCTTTCAAACATTTAGTGGTTGTCCAAACGATAACAGTCAGTGATGAGTGTTATCTTGAAATAAATAAGGAATAGTCCTCACAAACTTCAAACCAACTTATGGTCTCA